TTATAAACAAATCAGTGCAAAATTATTCTGTTCTTTGTTCTGCACGAAATCACAACAAAAGAATAAAAAGAATTGGCAACTCTGTCTACTACAAATATAGCGTTTCTTAACAAAGCTTGAGGTTGTCATGGTAACTGTCAACTAGACGAGGTTTTTAGTGTTTATTTTTTGCTCACGTAAAAAAAGAAGTTGGAAAGAAGGCGTAAGATGATTAAGCACACAATTTTCCCACTTCCTAAATTAAGTTAAAAAAGAGCAATAAAAAATTCACAAGCTTATAACAAATTACAGCGTAAATATAATAACATAACACGAAATGAGTTTAGTACGACTTTTGCGGCCGTGTTGTGTAAATGTGCCAAAAGACCGGGAGACGTCCGTTAATTCTCTTTATCGATTTTAACAAATTAAATTTTTTGTAAAATTAATAATTTTTTTCAAAGTGCTATTTTTTGTATATTGGAAGCAATGGAATACTTACAGCAATTTTATGAGAAAATATTTGGTGATAGCAACGGCGATTCGGGTTGGGGTGCCGGCACGTGAGTTGCTAAATATAACACAAAATTATGATTTCGTAATTAACCTTTTTGTTTCTACTTTTATGGTTAATAATTTGTTTAGGCCGCGGAAAGTTGTGGCTTTTGGAAATGTTTTATTAGATCGCACAGTGCAAATCGCAGATTTAGATATTCTCGATCGTTTTCAACTATCAATGAACGCGAAAGGCGAACTGAGTGTGGAGACTTTGAATTCATTAACAGCTGAGATTTGCGAGAGGTTAGCGACATTTTAAATTTGTTTTGACACTTTTCGTTGGTTACATTTTTGAAATTCTTGTTTAAAATTATTAAAATTAAATTATTTTAGTTCAAATTGTATTACAAATCCTGGTGGTTCTTCCTTAAACACAGTACGCATTTTAAAAAAATTGGGCACAGAAGCACTCTTTTTCGGTGCCGTTGGCGATGATAAATACGCAGAGGAGTTGAAGGACAGACTGCAAGATTATGAAATTGATGCCAGGTATGTAAAAAGAATAATAAGTGGAAATGAGAATTCAAAAAAAAAAATTAATATAAGTAATTAATTATATATGGAAGCTATATTATACTGTAGGTATATAACTAGATAGAAGGCATATATATGATATGAGTGTGTCTGTGCTATCTTTTAGCACTTAATACTAATAATTTTTTTAAAAGAACTTCAGACATTAAAAATTCAATTTATTATTGTTTATCAGTTTAATCCATATTTTTGTATTTTATGATTTACGATCGCGTTCAAGGTCTTTTAAAGAAGTTCATATAAATTAATCCTCACAAATGAAAGCACTTCATTGTATATGAATAGATAGATTAAATCCATAATTCTTAATTAAATTTTTTCTTGAGTGACCTTAAATATGCAAGTGCATAGCATAAAAGCGTCGAAATATTTTGTTTATAAATAAAGATTTATTAAATTTTGAATTAAAGTAGAACGAAGTGATTTGTAGATTTTGAGGCTAGTGAATTATAACCAAATTAAAATATAAGAGAATACGTAGTATTTACATATTCACAATGAAGTGCGTAGAAGAGGTTGACATTATTAAATTTTATCTTAAGAAAATTGAAATGGCAGGAAATACATATTATATGAGTAGCCACGGTAGAGCTAATAGAAGATTTTAAGTTCAGTGAATTGCATTTAAAAAAAATTGAAATGATAATGAATATTCAGTATTCGAATACTTGTTATAAGACTATTGAAATGGCAGGTTATACGTAGTATTCGACTATTACCTGATTGACATTGAAAATCGAGTATTCACCCTAGAATTTTTGGAATCAGTAAATTTTATTTTAAGAGAATTTGAAAGATCAATTAGGTTTCTGCTCAAAAAAACTGCTAGCAGATTATTACATTTAAGTTTTTAGATAAAATATGAACTGATATTAGCCGAGAGTTATAGTATTTCAAAATAGTTTGAAGATCAATTGAATTATATAGTAGAATACTTAGAAGAGTACTACTTAAAGATTCTTCAACCTTATTGAATAAGTATAATAATAATAAGAGAATAGATGAACAATAATATCCAATAGATGTGCTTTCTTTAACGCATACAGAACTTAACATCGAATAATTTTTTCTTATATTCGAATTCTTAGAAAAGCAAAAAGGTCGGTCATAATTTTACAACTTTAATTAATCTTATCTCTTCCAATGCACGTAGTTTGCATTCGTATCTGAAGTTAAAAGAATTCTTTGTTAAATTTTAACTAAAGCAATTTTTGCTACTGCAAAGTTTCTGAAATTTCCGACATTTTTTACTTATATTTCTTTTTTTTTTAAGAAATGCATTTACTTTTGCCTCTATAGTCAAATACTGAATCTTTACTTTATTGCATTTTAATGATGTAATTTATAAGAGTTGTAAAATTTATATTTTTATGTACTTAAGTAGTTAAACGCATGAATACATTTAAATCTGGAATTAATAATGTGTCAATATATATGCACATTCATTACACGGAATGCAATATTGAATTAGTAACCCAATGTGGTTTTACTTCCCAAATAGGGTTCCGTAACTAAAATAACCCTGATTATATCACATACTTTTACATATACTACAATTTATGATAGAAAGTTAGTAGTTTTTTAGTAAAATAATTTATTATATTGTTGTACCCCACATTTTCCTGTAAAACTAACATGACAAAATTCAGACTTAATTTCTTCAAAGGAAATGAGATTTATTAGCATTTCAGATTGAGTGTCACTGGCTTAGATCTCTACTTGTCTTCGGTAATGCAATGGCGTTTCATCCTACATAATGGCATTTATATGAATATTTGACAATATTCTAAAATCCAGGCGCTGTGATTTGAAAAGGGATTTCTTAAATACTGTGCAAGTTCCACTATGTTTCAGTTGTAGAGATAACTTGCCTTAAAGTTGTGGCACTCAGAAAATCTAATTCTTCTTGAATGTGTAGTTATGAGGAAGATTGTAAATGCGTCTTATTATCCATTTATGATTCACTCAAAAAAGTCTTAAAAGTAAATTAATCACTAGGAGGCTTTAAAAA